CGTGATAGTAAGAAGGTACTTAGAGAGTGAGTGATACTGTTTACTACTAGCATGGGATGATGAGATAGTAAGCAGGTACTTAGAGAGTGAGTGATACTGTTTACTGCTAGACGGTGTCTACGTGCCACCTACCTACCCACGGTCATACCACAACCCCCCATATTCTTAAAATACTACACACTCACCTCGACAGTAATAACCTTGCATGCCCACGCCGAACATCGGGTAGCAACACTTGCCACACATCTGCACTGTGTGGAAGTGCTTGGCCACGTACTCGTGTCCTAGTACCACGTGCCTGCGACTGCGCTTGGCCTGTGGGAGTCTCTTGGATCCTTGAGGGTACCTATCCTCATACTCGAGTTCTTCATCGCTCATAACATCGTCGTGATGTTCCATCAGCCAGTAGGTGCCTGGGGGTGTGCTGCCGTCGAGTGTGATCAGCTTATCTGGCGGAGGGTTTAGGGTTTAGGGTTTACATGGGTGGATGTGATTGAGTGGAAGATGCCGGAAAACACGAATATGCAACATTGTGTCGTATTTGGAATAGGAATTGGAATACGATTAATCAGCATTGCCCCGTAGGCGTTACGGTGCTTTTAGTACCACAGGTACGTTTTGATGGTTCATATAGTATGATCGACGCTTTATGATGGTGGTTTAGATAGCAAAACAGATATGTTTTAATGGTGGGTCAGATGTTACGATCGACTCTTAATGATGGAGGATCAGAAATTACGACAGATACATATTGATGGTGGTTCAGAAAGTACTACAGAAACGTTTTGAGGGTGGTTCCGATACAACTGCTGAGATCAAGGTCGGAAACCTTGTGAGCCACGCAGATAAACGTATCGGGTCCGACATGTAGTACACAACCGGGCAATGTGTTACCCCAAATCTATTTAAAGAGTCGTCAACGGCGACAGCATACGCGATCATGTGGAACAATGACACACAAGCTGTGGGTTTCTTACAGGGAAATGGGAGAAAAGCCAAATACTTGCCTAAAACTCCAAAAAAGCTGTCTTGTGATAACAATAGATAAATCTACATACAATCATACTGTGTCGAACTTTGGGTTGTGGATATGGCTCACCAAAATTGGAGGGGAGAACCACAACAATATCAGTTGCAAAGAAGACGTCATGGACCCTTCAATCGCTATGGTATCGATCCAACTGACAGGCAATACTTTCTGTACTTTTAATTTCGAACGTACCAGTTTTATTCACAACGAAATAGCCCACAGATAGGGCAAGCCCCGTTTTTGCGCGCACCCACAGGTCCATTTCAATGACAGTGTGCTCTTCATTGTAGTTGATGGTAAACATCCGGTCTTGGTCGTCGAAGTACCGGTTAAGCTGAATGATACAAAAAAAGATATCAAAAAAATAAAAATGTATACTATTAATAATATCCCAGATAGATGTGAAGATATTTATAGCATTCTCAAAGGGCATGTTATATATATATATATATTATAAATGTATATATTATATAAATAAATATATATATAATAAAC